AGCAAGCCGCAAGAATACTGTGAATACTGATGATACTGGACGGCAACACCACGTTGTTTACTCTTTTTTGTTTTACGCCTTCCCCAAACCATGGCCCATAATCTTAAAGGGTTAATTTTAGGTATTGATTCTGAGTGGTTGTTTTAACCTTGTAACCACACTGAATTAAATTTGTCAAAAATAGAAATGAATCCATAATACCTTGAATTTATAAAGGAAACTAAGAGATCTTGTTGTTATAACCCTCCCACTCTGACTTCTTTCCCGCTTTATGTTTTAGTACTGGAAGTGGTTCATCTACAAACCCCTTTCCTCTTCTTCATGGTAACAGGACACCCGAGTCCATTGTCTCCATTGTTGGGTTAATTACAGGCTAGGTCTCAGGTTTAGAGGGAGAAGCTGGCACCAGTCTTTTCTCATGGCCTCTGCTACAGTGAAGGTGACGGGGAATATGAGGACAGGGCCATTGCCATCCCATAGGGATCCAGTGGAACCAGAGAGAGAGAGAGAGAGAGAGAGAGAGAGAGAGAGAGAGAGAGAGAGAGAGAGAGAGAGAGAGGGGAGAGAGAGAGTCTCAGGATTTGTGTTACAGTCTAACAATAGCCAGCTAGCACCAATGGACCAGTGCAGAGATACAAGGCAAGGAGGGTGTCTGTAGTCTGGGACTGTGTGACAGCGAGGGGTTCAGTCTCTTTCACCTCTCCTTCTCCCTTTCTCCATCTCTCTCTTTTAATGAGAGGTCAGTGTCACAGACCCCCCATGCTATTCTGAGTTAATACAGCTTGCTACAGAGTATTGTGTTCATTCTTCTGGGCCTACGGGGAGAGAGTGACAGAGAGAGAGAGAGAGAGAGAGATGTTTAAAACTTTAAGAAAAGGTACTTTATGATAGTAAAACGTCATTGAAGGTTTACTGTGGGTGTGTTCATGTTTATCTGCTACTATATTTCCCCCTTTGTCCATCATTTACTATCTCCACTGTTAGATTCTTATGTTTCTTTGCAGCTCTCTTTGCGTGTAGGCTACATAACCACGGCCTAGTTAAGTACATTGGTTGGAAATCCAGAGAGTGAACTAAAGACCCATATATTCTTTCTTCCTAAAATGAGTAGGGTGTGTCTTGTATGCTGGATTGATAGACCAAGGTCAAAAAAAATCAAGTCTCAACATTGGGATAAGAAACATGCATACAATATTTATTTAGAAACCACATTAAATTAAGACTACAAAGGTACTTCACTTATACAAAAGACTATATTCCAATTCACATACAAAATAACAATAATTTACTGTATAAATTTAAATTTCACTATTTAATTTACATTTTTCATGAAAACAATGTTTAGTATTCCCCCCAAAACCCATTTTTCCCCCCATATCACATAGGACTGCTCGTTTCATGACCAGAGTACCGTGTAGGGTTACACAATTCTGGTAACTTTCCCAAAATGTGCAGGTTTTCCAGAAATCATGGAGGATTCCGGATTTCCTGCTTACTCCCCCCTGATTCAGGGAATCTTCCAACCGGGATTTCTGGAAAACGTATGAATTTTGCAATCCTAGTACCGTGTAACATTTGGATGAACAACAGATAAAAAGAAGAGACAGCTTCCATTATTATTATAAGTTACTGTGGTATTGTCCAGTTGACTGGAGGACAGGGGAGAGAATGGAGTTGGTATTTTTCACCAGGCTATCCAAACAGATATGGCCTTGTTAGATTTACACTGTCAGATTAGGTTACTTTCTATGTTTAACAAGGACTCCTCTCTCTGATCTCCCTCATACACACATTCACTCCTTCTCTTTCTCTCTCTCTCACACATACACACACACACACACACACACACACACACAAACACACACACACAAACACACCCTCAAACACAGTCTCCCTTCCCCTCTCTTCCGCCGTCTTTCTACCGCTCAGCATGAACTGCTCTGAACAGCACAGACCCAGGGGCATGTGCTCTTTCTTGTCTTGCTATAATTAACATGAGTTCCAGATGAGCAGACAGCCAAAGTAAAACATGAGGTCACCCAGCAGACAAACATCAGAGGAGAAAATCAGAAAAGTTCCCTGCATTGTGAGGCGAAGCCCTCTTATTAAATCACAGTCACACCTAGGCTAATCCTATCCCTCATTCCAATGTGTCAATGACTGCATCCCAAATGGCACCCTATTCCCTATATAGTCCCCTACTTTTGACCAGGGCCCATAGGGAATAGGGTGGTAGTGCACTATAGATGGAAAAGGGTGACATTTGGGGCACAGCCACTACAGTTTTGCATATAAACTGTGACCCTTTTGTTGCAGCAAGTCCTCTAAATGTAACGTTTACATTTGCAGTTTGGTTTCCAGAACAACAGAACTGTGTAAAGTTTCAAAATGGTTTTGGTTTCCAGAAGAGATAAGAGCCAAACTGGATGAAGTACTATTTATCTATCACTACAACTAGAGGCAGATGCATGAACGTTTTGGACCATATTAATCAGCTTTGACTGTTTTTCTGATTGTTGGGAAACACAAACTGAAAAGTGCTCAACCCATAGAAATAGAATTCTAACATTATTAAAAATATAAAACACAACATAATATATATCTCATCTTTGTATGGTTTAACCTCCAAATTTGCTGTATGCCAGGGGCACATTAATGCATTGTGACCTTTCACGTGTCCTCAAAGGTCACAGAAACACACTGAACTGCAACGGTGACGTTAACCTGCTGTCTGCTAACACAGTGGACTATCAATGAGTGCTTTTATCCATTCATCCCGTATTATTTGTGGTTTAGCTGAGAGTTGAGTGAGGTTGTTTGGGTCTGCTGTGCCCTCTGAATGTGGGAATCTGAAGCTGCTGAATATGGGGGAAATAACCCTCCAGCCGCCGAGGTAAGTTGCAGTTGATGAGTAAGTACAAAAACGACTGATGAATTTCGCCATTGCTTTGCTGAGACATGAAATGAAAAAGCAGGACATATGTCACATTGAATTGCACAATATAGAACAGGATTTACCCCCTCCTTGTAATCAAATGGCAACATTAGGAGAACAATATGTTCAGTAATGTCCAAGAGGACTACACACAAGAGCACATAGAAAAGAAAAGGGGGAGGGGGGCGGGGAATTAAGCAAACATTTATTTTCAGTCTCACCCATCCTACTGTAATTCCCATTGACATAGTCTGTCATAGGGTGACATAGTCTGTTATAGGGTGACATAGTCTGTCATAGGGTAACATAGTCTATTTTAGGGTGACATAAGTCTGTCATAGGGTGACATAATCTGTCATAGGGTGACATAGTCTGTTATAGGTTGGACAAAGATCACAACTAATAGACTCAGAAACACAGGGAGGAGGGGGAGAGGGGGTAGAGGGAGTGGAGAGGGGAGGGAGAGAAGCCTACAGTAGCAGGCTTGTAGAAGATCCTTAAGGCACTTAAACACAGAGTCTATGTGTTCCAAATGGCACCCTACTCCCTATATATTACACTACTTTTGACCAGAGCCCTATGGGCTATTTGGGACATAGCTAGTCAAACCAGATCAGAACCACCAGCTGAGCGGAAGAGAGAGAGAAAGAGAGAGAGAACCTCTGAGCGTTTCAAAAACTATTTTAAAGGTCATGAACAGTCAATATGATGTTTTTCATCAAATTTGATGATAATTGGATGAAACCAGATCAAAGTATGATGACCAGGGCCTCCCGAGTGGCGCAGTGGTCTAAGGCACTGAATCGCAGTGCTAGAGGCATCACTACAGACCCGGGTTCGATCCCGGGCTGTATCACAACCGGCCGTGATCGGGAGTCCCATAGGGCAGCGCACAATTGGCCCAGCATCGTCCGGGTTAGGGTAGGGTTTGGCCGGGGGGTGCTTTACTTGGCTCATCATGCTCTAGCGACTCCTTGTGGCGGGCCGGGCGCCTGCAAGCTGACCTCGGTTGTCAGTTGAACAGTGTTTTCTCCAACACATTGGTGGCTTCCGGGTTCAGCGGGCGGGTGTTAAGAAGCGCGGTTTGGCTGGTCATGTTTCGGAGGACGCATGACTCAACCTTCGCCTCCTGAGCCCGTTGGGGAGTTGCAGTGATGAGACAAGATCGAAATTGGGGAGAAAAATACTAAAGAAAAAACAAAAAAAGTATGATGACGAAGTATGAAAAACGACTGTTGCTTCTACATTGATCATAAAGTTACTGCTCCCCTCCCCATGTCAAACACTTGGATTCAGGAGGCGGGATTATTAAGGGAATAGGGTGACATCACCCTAACTCTCTCATTTTAATACACCAATGGTAACATGATATTCTCTTACCTAATTTAAATAAGTACCGCCTTGTAACCAACATCGGAGAAAGTGTGTTTGCAGAGGGGCGTGGTTTATATAGCTAGAGAGCTACTCTACTGGTGCCATAATTTGACTGTAGGGTATCAGCAAATATAACTAAAAGTTTACCCTATTCATCTATGGAAAATATAATTATATGTCTCCCCTTTCATCTGTGTCTGGTGTTAGCTAATTACTGGCTAGCTAGGTCTTCAGCCAGCATGGAATAAAAGGGGGGAGGGTCTTTCAAAACTCTGACGCAGTTGTCATGTCAACACATCCGTCAGTGCTGCTGTGAACCGCATCACAAGAGACATGCCAAACGGGAGAGGTATAAACCATTTGACATCATTGATGCAATTTCAATGTTGTTTGAGTTGCTTTGTGTAACATCAAATTAGCTTGAGATGATTTTACTGCAACACTGTTCATTGCATTCAAGTTTCTTGACATAGGCGTTTCAAAGAGCTGTCAAGTCAAGGCGAGCTCATGAATATATGCTCCCCACCCACTCAGCCTTCCTCGTAGTTAGCCATCCACAAGCCTTTCTATCCCCACAAATATTATGGGTGATATTTTAGTCACTCAAAAGGCTATTTTACATGGGAATCAGAATGACTGTTCGGGACCTTTAAACAGCAGTTGTTAAATTACACCCCACCCTCCTCCCCTATCCTCTACCTTTCTACTCCCTCTGTTTCCCTCCTTCTTCCCTCTCCCCCCTCCATCCATCATGGGAGAGACTTCTGATATGGTTTCCTCCAGAGGCAGTGTGGGAGAGAGAGAGAGCGAGGGAGCGAGCAAGTGTTCTTTTTTTAATCTTCATTTATCTCTCTGTGTGCATGTCTCTTTTTTTTTTTGGTTGATTTGGTTATTCATGCCGGGCATATGCAGCAACCGCACACACTTTCTTTCTTTGTGACTTACTCATGGTATCGATTCTCCTGGCTCCAGATAGAACAGGTGTATCACCTCAAGAGGAGAGGGACTCTCTTCTCTCTATATATCTCAAACACAGAGCTGCTGGCTGGCCTACATAACGCAACACGGTCACAGGTAACTCAATGCTATCTGAGAGGAGAGGGGGTTCCCTTTCAGGCTGTCTGGCTGTTGTGGTTCAATAACTGCCGATTGTCCATAGTGGTATTAATTGTAGTTACACAACTGAGTTAGAGTTACATGTACTGTAATATGAAGGGGTTGGTGTCCTCGTCCCTTGATAATGATCAGGATTCAACCCCCTTTTTCTATGTGAGACACCAGTTACAGTCACTGATAGGGAATATGCATGGCTCCCTTTGTTGTTTGCAGATTATTAAAACAAGGAGAGATGAGTAGTCTGCCATTTTGTGCCCCACTGGGACACAGTTACAATGGAAGGCCTGCATTCTGGAGGAGTCCTGTGGAAACTGGAATCTGCTTTGGCCCCAGCCAACCACTGTCTCTAAAGGAGGACTTCAATGATCTCTCAGACATCCATGGAGGGACAATGGAAGTAGAACCCCAAGAAGATGAGTGCCCTGCAGTAAAATGTCCACCTTGAGCTGTTTGTACATCTACTCTCCTCTCCTGCCTTGTACACAGCAGACACAGACAGCCCTGTCTGGACCATTTGGTAGTAGTCACTCAGTGAGTCAGTGAATCAGTCATTAGTTAGCATGTTAGCTTTGTAGCTCAGTGCCCCATAGAGTCTCATTGGTTTGGGGCGGCTAGCTCTGTGGCTTGCTCTGGTAGGGTAGGCCCCGGTACAGGGTTTAGTACTGATGGCGGTAGTATACCAGGCTGCAGTTCCCTAGTTGCCCACCAGAGGGCTGAGGTCTCCGTGGTGGTTCTTTAGCTTCTTCTTGAAGAGAGAGATGGTGGAGGGCTGGTAAAGGATGATCCAGGGCTCAGACCCAGCACTCTGGCCGCTGCAGCTCTCTGAACCACTGATGGTCGGGATGTTGGGAGATCTGGGAGAGAGGAGGGGGAGAGAGGGGGGAGAGGAGGAGAGAGGGAGAGGGAAAAGGTGATGGGAGGGAAGGAGGGTGAAGGAGAGAGAGAGAGAGCAAGAGAGAGAGAGAGCAAGAGAGAGAGAGAGAGAGAGAGAGAGAGAGAGAGAGAGAGAGAGAGAGAGAGAGAGAGAGAGAGAGAGAGAGAGAGAGAGAGAGAGAGAGAGATAAATAATTAAATACATGTGGCACAGAGAATAGTAACATTAGGTTATAAATCCCACTAGCGTGTGGCTCTTACAGCCTTAAAAAGACATCACTTGGCATCAACTATACTTCTATTACACTCTGAGGCATTAGTACAATACAACTTTACAACTTTACAGCCCATAAGTTACAGTGAACAACAGGAAATGTAATCCTTACTTGACTGTGATATGCAGCAGTAGTTTGGTTACCATGACTATGACTGTCAGAGTCAGGAGAGCAGCCAGAGTGTAGATGGTCCACTCTGTCAACACAGAAACATAGAATTTGAGTTTGAGGAATACATACCAGTTAGGAAGAACCATATCAACCTCTAGAGAATCTGGAGGCATTTTATAGAACCTCAGATCAGAAAGATATACAAGGGGGCTATAAATCAAAAAACAGTCTGGCAGATCTAGACCATATGAGTTTGTACAGTCCTATAATGCTTGTACTGCCAGCACACATGTTATCCTAAAGACCTTTCTCAGAACATATTCCGACTGTAAAATATTAGCACACACGTTATTATATCAGCGTTATACAGTACCAGTCAAAAGTTTGAACACACCTACTCATTCAAGGGTTTTTCTTTATTTTTACTATTTTCTACATTATAGAATAATAGTGAAGACATCAAAACTATGAAATAACACATATGGAATCATGTAGTAACCAAAAAAGTGTTAAACAAATCAAAGTAAATGATATATTTGAGATTCTTCAAATAGCCACCCTTTGCCTTGATGACAGCTTTGCACAATCTTGGCATTCTCTCAACCAGCTTCATGAGGTAGTCACCTGTAATGCATTTCAATTAACAGGTGTGCCTTGTTAAAAGTTAATTTGTGGAATTTATTTCCTTCTTAATTCATTTGAGCCAATCAGTTGTGTTGTGACAAGGTTGGGGGGGGGGTATACAGAAGATAGCCCTATTTGATAAAATACCAAGTCCATATTATGGCAAGAACAGCTCAAATAAGCAAAGAGAAACTACAGTCCATCATTACTTTAAGACATGAAGGTCAGTCAATACGGAACATTTCAAGAACTTTTAAAGTTTCTTGAAGTGCAGTCGCAAAGACCATCAAGCGCTTTGATGAAACTGGCTCTCATGAGGACCGCCACAGGAATGGAAGACCCAGAGTTACCTCTGCCGCAGAGGATAAGTTCATTAGAGTTACCAGCCTCAGAAATTGCAGCCCAAATAAATGCTTCACAGAGTTCAAGTAACAGAGGGGACTGTGTGAATCAGGCCTTCATGGTCGAATTGCTGCAATGAAAACACAATTAAAGGACACCAATAAGAAGAAGAGACTTGCTTGGGCCAAGAAACACGAGCAATGGACATTAGACCGATAGTAATTTGTCCTTTGGTCTGGAGTCCAAATTTGAGATTTTGGGTTCCAACCACTGTGTCTTTGTGAGACGCGGTGTGGGTGAACGGATGATCTCCACATGTATATTTCCCACCGTAAAGCACGGAGGAGGAGGAGTTATGGTGTGGGGGTGCTTTTCTGGTGACACTGTCTGTGATTTATTTAGAATTCAAGGCACACTTATCCAGCATGGCTACCACAGCATTCTGCAGCGATACGCCATCCCATCTGGTTTGTGCTTAGTGGGACTATCATTTGTTCTTCAACAGGACAATGACCCAACACACCTCCAGGCTGTGTAAGGGCTATTTTACCAAGAAGGAGAGTGATGGAGTGCTGCATCAGATGACCTGGCCTTCACAATCCCCCGACCTCAACCCAATTGAGATGGTTTGGGATGAGTCGGACCGTAGAGTGAAGGAAAAGTAGCCAACAAGTGCTCAGCATATGTGGGAACTGTTGGAAAAGCATTCCAGGTGAAGCTGGTTGAGAGAATGCTAAGAGTGTGCAAAGCTATCATCAAGGCAAAGGGTGGCTATTTGAAGATTCTCAAATATAAAATATACTTTGATTTGTTTTTTGTTTACTAAATGATTCCATATGTGTTATTTCATAGTTTTGATGTCTTCACTATTATTCTACAATGTAAAAAATAGTAAAAATAAAGAATAACCCTTGAATGTCAATATATGGCTCAGGTCACACACCTCCTTCATAACACGTTATGTACATGGTGAACAATAACATGTTAAATACATCCATGCATATGTCATGAAAACATAGTGACACCACGTACAGTGCCTTGCATTTTTCCTATTTTGTTGCATTACAACCTGTAATTTAAATTGATTTTTATTTGGATTTCATGTAATGGACATACACAAAATAGTCCAAATTGGTGAAGTTAAGTGAAAAAAATAACTTGTGGTGCGTGCATATGTATTCACCCCCTTTGCTATGAAGCCCCTAAATAAGATCTGGTGCAACCAATTACCTTTAGGAGTCACATAATTAGTTGAATAAAGTCCATGTCCATGTCACATGATCTCAGTATATATACACCTGTCCTGAAAGGCCCCAGAGTCTGTAACACCACTAAGCAAGGGGCACCACCAAGCAAGCGGCACCATGAAGACCAAGGAGCTCCCAAACAGGTCAGGGACAAAGTTGTGGAGAAGTACAGATCATGGTTGGGTTATAATTTTTTTTTTGGGAACATCCCACGGAGCACCATTAAATCCATTATTAAAAAATGGAAAGAATATGGCACCACAACAAACCTGCCAAGAGAGGGCCGCCCACCAAAACTCACGGACCAGGCAAGGAGGGCATTAATCAGAGAGGCAACAAAGAGACCAAAGATAACCCTGAAGGAGCTGCAAAGCTCCACAGCAGAGATTGGAGTATCTTTACATAGGACCACTTTAAGCCGTACACTCCACAGAGCTGGGCTTTACGGAAGAGTGGCCATAAAAAAGCCATTGCTTAAAGAAAAAAATAAGAAGACACGTTTGGTGTTCGCCAAAAGCCATGTGGGAGACTCCCCAAACATATGGAAGAAGGTACTCTGGTCAGATGAGACTAAAATTGAGCTTTTTGGCCATCAAGGAAAACGTTATGTCTGGCGCAAACCCAACACCTCTCATCAACCCGAGAACACCATCCCACAGTGAAGGATGGTGGTGGCAGGGACTGGGAAACTGGTCAGAATTGAAGGAATGATAGATGGTGCTAAATACAGGGAAATTCTTGACGGAAACCTGTTTCAGTCTTCCAGAGATTTGAGACTGGGACGGAGGTTCATCTTCCAGCAGGACAATGACCCTAAGCATACTGCTAAAGCAACACTCAAGTGGTTTAAGGAGAAACATTTAAATGTCTTGGAATGGCCTAGTCAAAGCCCAGACCTCAATCCAATTGAGAATCTGTGGTATGACTTAGAGATTGCTGTACACCAGTGGAACCCATCCAACTTGAAGGAGCTGGAGCAGTTTTGCCTTGAAGAATGGGCAAAAATCCCAGTGGCTAGATGTGCCAAGCTTATAGAGACATACCCCAAGAGACTTGCAGCTGTAATTGCTGCAAAAGGTGGCTCTACAAAGTATTGACTTTGTGTTATAGTGAATAGTTATGCACGCTCAAGTTTTCTATTTTTTTGTCTTATTTCTTGTTTGTTTCACAATAAAAAATATTTTGCATCTTAAAAGTGGTAGGCATGTTGTGTAAATCAAATGATACAAACCCCCAAAAATCAATTTTAATTCCAGGTTGTAAGGCAACAAAATAGGAAAAATACCAAGGGGGGAATACATTCACAAGCCACTGTAGCTATACCAGGGAACCCTATAGGAGAAAGCCTTCTGTTAATCTAAAAGACTACAGTAAGTATTACCAATGCACTTTGTTAATGTACAGCCCTATGACAGAAGCCTCTGTAGTAGAAATAGTACAAACCGCTATTAGAGAGATCCGAGAGGTAGAAAAGGTATGGTGAGAGAGAGAGACGGAGGGAAGGCTGGAGAGAGATGATGGTGTCTACATACTAGAGGTGTGTCCGTTGGTCCCGTTGGGTCCGACCCACTGACCTGGCATGTTGTGGTCCGATTTACCAGGACTGGATGTTATCACGTAGAGGATCTGTGAGGAGCGACCGTTAGTCTTCTCCGTTACTCCCCCAAGCTGAGGCTCCACCGTACTGGTGTCCTCTTCCTCCTCCTCCTCTTCCTCATCCATAGGTCTGGTGTCCAGGCTTCTCAGAGCTGAAACAACAACAAACATCAGAATGTTTCCATGTGTCTACCCGTGGCTGCTACTGTGTCTGTCTCCCAACCAGGAACACTTGGTTTTCTTCATGTCAAGACTTGGATGTCTAAATCAGGAAGATGTTGAGTCCTTGGCCTGACTGAATCTTTACCATGACTGGTGGACTGACTGAATCTTTACCATGACTGGTGGACTGACTGAATCTTTACCATGACTGGTGGTCTGACTGAATCTTTACCATGACTGGTGGTCTGACTGAATCTTTACCATGACTGGTGGACTGACTGAATCTTTACCATGACTGGTGGACTGACTGAATCTTTACCATGACTGGTGGTCTGACTGAATCTTTACCATGACTGGTGGTCTGACTGAATCTTTACCATGACTGGTGGACTGACTGAATCTTTACCAGAAGTTAAAGTTTTCTTTATTTTTATCACACTACTTAAACAGAGTGATGTTTCCCACATTTGCTACAACAGAATGCCGCGTTGCCGCTGCTTCAAACCTCGGCTCGGCCGAACATTCTTCAGACGTAATCTGAGAGCGTTTATCCTCCTCAACAGAGGGGGAAATTACCATAGCACCACTCAGCACCCTATGGATGTAGTAACCTACTGTTTGGAATTAACATTTATCCAGCTTAGCCTCAAGGGCAGTCTCTCTCTTTCTCTCTCTCTCTCTTGCTCTCTCTGTATATCTCTCTCTCTCTGTAGCCTCTCTCTGTAGCTCTCTCTCTCTGTATCTCTCTCTCTCTCTGTATCTCTCTCTCTCTGTATCTCTCTCTCTGTATCTCTCTCTATGTATCAATTCAATTCAATTTCTATTTAAGGGGCTCTATTGGCATGGGAAACATATGTTAACATTGCCAAAGCAAGTGATGTAGATAATAAACAAAAGTGAAATAAACAATACAAAATGAACAGTAAACATTACACTCACATAAGTTCCAAAAGAATAAAGATATGTAAAGTGTCATATTATGTCTATATACAGTGCTCCCATCTCTCTCTCTCTCTCTCTCTCTCTCTCTCTCTCTCTCTCTCTCTCTCTCTCTCTCTCTCTCTCTCTCTCTCTCTCTCTCTCTCTCTCTCTCTCTCTCTCTCTCTGCATGCATGCTGGGAGTGTTTGGTGCATGCTTGGAATTGTATGAGCGAGTGTCTGGAGTTAGATCGACTGTGTTTTTTTTCTTGTTTCCTTTTCTTGGTGGTTTTCCTTTTTCTATGCATGATTAAGGTCATTATTTTTATGTTGGTAGAATTAGGTATATTGTATTTCTTGTTGGAATTGCCCTGGTTTTGGTGGGGATGGCGACCCACATGGGGATGCGGTCCCTGTCACTTCGGCATTGGCTTCAGGTGTGTTACTGAAACTACTGTCACTGTGGAGATGTTTCTGGTCGCTGTAGGAGAGAAGGTAGGCTATGAAAATGTTGCTTATGCGTCGCAGATTAATAAAGCCGTGGTGGTCTTTCATAAAGAAGAGCGTCTTGTCGATTGGATGGTTGAGCATGACGTACTTCTTAAAGGTATGTTTATTCAAGTTACGCCGCTTTTTTCTCCGTCAACAAGGGTAACGATTTCGAATGTACCGCCGTTTATTCTCTATGAGCTATTGGAGTGCGAGTTATTGCAGTTTGGGAAGTTTCAAATCAAATCAAATTGTATTTGTCCATGCGCCGAATACAACAGGTGTAGACCTTACTGTGAAATGCTTACAAGCCCTTAACCAGTTTAAGAAAGAGTTAAGAAAATATTTACTAAATAAACTAAAGTAAAACAACATTTTCTTTAAAGAAATAAAAAGTAACACAATAAAATAACAATAACGAGGCTATATACAGGGGGTACCGGTACCGAGTCAATGTGCGGGGGTACAGGTTAGTCGAGGTTATTTGTACATGTAGGTAGGGGTAAAGTGACTATACATAGATAATAAACAGTGAGTAGCGGCAGTGTAAAAACAAATGGGGCCAATGTAAATAGTCCGGGTGGCCATTTGATTAATTGTTCAGCAGTCTTATGGCTTGGGGGTAGAAGCTGTTAAGGAGCCTTTTGGTCCTAGACTTGGCGCTCCGGTACCGCTTGCCGTGGGGTAGCAGAGAACAGTCTATGACTTGGGTGACTGGAGTCTTTGACAATTTTTAGGGCCTTCCTCTGACACCGCCTTGTATATAGGTCCTGGATGGCAGGAAGCTTGGCCCCAGTGATGTACTACTCTCTGTAGCGCCTTACGGTTAGATGCCGAGCAGTTGCCATACCAGGCGGTGATGCAACCGGTCAGGATGCTCTTGATTGTGCAGCTGTAGAACCTTTTGAGGATCTGGGGACCCATGCCAAATCTTTTCAGTCTTCTGAGGGGGAAAAGGTCTTGTCGTGTCCTCTTCACGACTGTCTTGGTGTGTTTGGACCATGATAGTTTGTTGATAGTGTGGACACCAAGGAACTTGAAACTCTCGACCCGCTCCACTACAGCCCCGTCAATGTTAATGGGGGCGTGTTCGGCCCTCCTTTTCCTGTAGTCCACGATCAGCTCCTTTGTCTTGCTCACATTGAGGGAGAGGTTGTTATCCTAGCACCACACTGCCAGGTCTCTGACCTCCTCCCTATAGGTTGTCTCATCGTTGTCGGTGATCAGGCCTACCACTGTTGTCTCTTCAGCAAACGTAATGATGGTGTTGGAGTCATGTTTGGCCACGCAGTCGTGGGTGAACAGGGAGTACAGGAGCAGACTAAGCACGCATGTCTCATAATATTTACATTCATTCCCAACATGTCTGCTGTCTGAAACAAGTAAAGTCAGGATTGAGACACAAGCAGGAGGGGATTGGCTGCCAGTGTGGGGGTCAGACTCTGACCTTACAATATTGTTTTTAGCAGAACAAAATAAGAGAAGGATAGGAAGTATAGTTTTAGTGTGTGAGCGTGTATATGTGTATATGTGTGTGTGCGTGTGTGTGTGTATGTGCATGTCTCTGCAGGTGGTTCGGTGGGTGGTTGTGTGTGGGTGGTTGTGTGTGTGCATGTGTGTGCAGGTGGTTCGGTGGGTGGTTGTGTGTGTGTGTGCGTGCGTGTGTGTTTGTGTGTGTGTGTGCATGTCTGTGTGTGCAGGTAGTTCGGTGGGTGGTTGTGTGTGTGCGTGGGTGTGTGTCTGTGTGTGCAGGTGGTTCGGTGGGTGGTTGTGTGTGTGTGTGTGCGTGTGTGTTTGTGTGTGCATGTGTACGTGTGTATGACTTCCAGCCCTGTAGGCTCTTTGCTTTAATGTCAACCATATCAACTAACTCAGAGAGAGTAGTGCTGAGTGCTGATGCCTTAAAGGACCTGAAACAATAGTGGATGTTTACAACAGTTTGGTCTATACAGAGAATTGCTATTTATCCGTAAATACTTTGATTCTATTATAATGAGTGTGTAATAAAAAATTGGGTTCAGATTGAGAGGTGATGTGTACAACAATAGAGAATTGTCACGCCCTGGCTCTGGGGACGCTTGTATGTTGAGCCAGGGTGTGAGTTTTCTTTGTTTGTTCTAGTTTTGTATTTCTATGTTGGCCAGGGTGGCTCCCAATCGGAGACGGCTGTAGCTCGTTGTCTCTGATTGGGAGCCATACTTAGGTAGCCGTTTGGCATTGTTTTATGTGGGATCTTGTTCCAGTATAGGTTTGTGTTAGAACCGAGGACGTCACGTTATCGTTTTTGTTCGTGTGTTCATTCTAATAAAAAGAAGTACGTTCGCAAATAACGCTGCGCATTGTCCACTGTTTCCAACGATCGTGACAAGAATAAAGATAATTATGTTGTATTGATTTTCACGGATGACAAACAAAAACATTACAAATGAATGGACAATAACAACATGTCTAGATAAAACCAATGCTTGATATGCAACGACACGCACCCTGTGACTAGAAAAACAAAACATTTAAATATGCAACACCAATATCACCTGCAGCTGTGAGGCATTGGCTAGCAAATGAGAAGAGAAAAGGTTCCTACCAGCATCTCCCCTGCCTGTCTCCCTCCCTCTACCTCTCACTGTGTGTGTGGTGTGTGTGTGTGTGTGTGTGTGTGGTGTGTGTGTGTGTGTGTGGTGTGTGTGTGGTGTGTGTGTGTTGTGTGTGTGTGTGTGTTTGTGGTGATGTGTGTGGTGGTGTGTGTGTGGTGTTTGTTGTGGTGTGTGATGTGTGGTGTGTGATGTGTGTGTGTGTGTGTGTGTGTGTGTGTGTGTATGTGTGTGTGTGTGTGTGTGTGTGTGTGTGTGTGTGTGTGTGTGTGGTGTGTGTGTATGGTTGTGTGTCTTCAGTAGAGCACAACATTAGTCTAGATGATTTAACAGCAGGCGGGTGGGTGGGTCGACGGACGGGCGGACGGACGGACGGACAGGTGGCGTGGTTGCTATGCAAAACCCTGCCATTGACCTAGGATACCAGGATGTGAGCCTGCACCTGTTCATGCAAATTATGGCTCCCAGAGATAAATGAGAAATGTGTGTCTTCATGTGGTTCAGTCGGTGTGCTGCTGGGATTGAAATCATTCAGAGAGAGAGAGATGTCTGGAAATGATTATCTCCTCTGCTATCTTAGCTACTATAACAACTTGCTTTGTTTTTGTACAACTGTTACAATTGTTTTGTGACAATTGTTTTGACAACCTCAAAACAACCTCTGTGTGGGTGATATCATGTTGATGACCAGATTTGAGAACAATACTTTAAACCTACTCCTGAACTGACAGGGAGTTTGAATAGAACTTCACCCTGGTGATTTTACTAGTAAAAGTCGACCGCAGAGTCCCTTCCTACAGTGTGTATGTGTGTGTGTGTGTGTGTGTCTGTGTGTGTTTGTCTGTGTGTGTGTGTCTGTGTGTGTTTGTCTGTGTGTGTCTGTGTGTGTGGGTGTGTTTGTGTGTCTATGTGTGTCTGTGTGTGTGGGTGTGCGTGTGCGTGTGTGTGTGTGTGTGTGTGTGTGCGTGTGTCTGTGTGTGTGTGTGTGTGTGTGTGTGTGTGTGTGGGTGGGTGTGTGTGTGTCTGTGTGTGTGTGTGCGTGTGTGTGTGTGTGTGTGTGTGTGTGTGTGTGTGTGTGTGTGTGTGTGTGTGTAAACCCACCTTGATACGTGACAGCAAAGCCCTGTGCCTGGTTGGTTCGGTCTGAGTAGAAGTAGAGGACAACGAAGTCTCCAGTGACGTTGACCAGCTCCCGGGGAGGGGAGCGGCCGTCAAACCTCGCCACCACCTGATCAATCAATCAATCAAACGTTATTTTTTTAACGTATAGCACGTGTCATACAAGGTAGCAATACAACGTACTTCACAGCACAAATACATAAATGCAATGACTAATAGAGATAAATAAAACCTATAGGAGATAATAGAATGGAAGGTTTTACCAGCTGACCTGGTTGGTGTAGCCATTCAGTAGCTCCACCATATCCGTCTGGTCCGAGATGTCAAAGAAGGTGAAGTTGAACAGGATCACGGAGGCCCCAGGGACCTGATAACAAATCATATATATTATTAATGCAGCTTTATATCGTTATATAGCTTTTCTGAAACCCGAGGGACGATTTACAATTGGCAAGAAACTGAAAAACAGACGCAGCATTCAAAACAAAACAGCAAACTAAATGACTGGGATATTGGGCTAGGAGAGAGGCCAATGACAGTAGGAGAGTCAACAACCAAGATGTACCTGGACAGTCCAGTAGCAGACCCTCCCGGCCCCGTACTTATCAGGGAAGTCAGGGGAGTAGACCACCCCAGAGGGGGCAGAGTAGTTACCCCCACATGCCCCCACTCGAGCTGGAGGAGTTAATCAGAGGAAAATAATTTACTTAATAACGGTTTAATTAGTGACATTTGCATTGTGCAAGCTTTATAAGTCTCTCAGATAAGTGTGTTTATGTTGTTATAGTCTATAACTGTTATGTACTCTGTTGTGTATTTTATGTTTTGTGTGGACCCCAGGAAGAGTAGCTGCTGCATGTGCAACAGCTAATGGGGATCCTATTCGACTAAACTAAACCCTCTCATACAACTAACCCTATTGACTCATATGGTGTCCGAGTTATTATAGAAACCTTTCCATATAGAAACCACATACAACAGACTCTCTCAATGACACAGAGTGGAATGAAGAGTTTTCAACACATAGTGGAAAGATGAGGATCGAACAAGGCACATTTGATCATTGTTGTAATTATGTTCAGCTGTGAAATCAGTCTCTCATTATCTAACAGTTGTCTGCCATAAACCTGATGCTTGTGTAGCCTATTAAACAGAAATGTAGCATGTATTGTTTAGCCAAAATCAGCAAACCGTTTTATGACAACAAAGGGAGAGATGGAACATTCTCTTCACATGACTCTTCTAATAAGTACGTTTTGAGAGTGGTGATGTGATCCTTCCATATTGGGTTATTCACTTCTTTCCAACGCTGGTTCTGAGAGAATCCATTCAATGGTTTGTGGAGTATTGACATTTGTCAGTTTACTGGAGTGTCATCTTTTGAAAATACTGTTATTTTCTCCATGCACCTGCAAATACTCCACTTTGTACACATTAGGTGAAGCACCATATAACTATATTAAGCACCATACAAGCACCGGTGGGAAGTTGTAGTTGGTTTAGATCATGTGTAGGGACCAGACCAGAGCAAACTGTCAAACATGTACATAGACCGAAGCAAATCATGTCCTACTCACTGTCGAAGATGATGACCCATCCATCTCCCCCACAAGGCTGGGTGTGGTCACCGAAACACACATGGTTGCATTCCATGCTGGGCGCCTCGCCATGGCGATGCAGGTCCAGGTCGTTGCCACAGAAACAGGCATAACCCGACTCCATTCCAGCAAGCTTTGGAACAGAGAGAGACATGCAAATCAATCAACAGATTAGAATTTAAAATCAAACTTGATTTGTTTAGCACTTGTGTAACTCTTTACAAGAGGGTCAGGCCTTCCCTTGACAAAGTGTAGTGCTGCACTGAGAAATAAATAAAGCAACAACAACAAAAAACTTGAGGAACCAGATTTTAGAGGGGAGCCTCAACCTCCATAGTCCAATCCTTATGGAATGATACTAGTGCCAACAGAAATGTCATGTGAATCCAATCACTCCATAAAGTCTGGATAGCAGATAAGCCGGAGCAAGACAGAGATGTCACATGATCACAGATACAGTACCATCTAATGTTAATAGGTTTTCAGAATGATTCCATAAAACTCCCCCCAAAAAGATTAGTTTTTTTCTGTACAGAAATGAAGTGATTTTGAAGTGTCTATAACCAGGGACGGCTTGTTCAATAGGGCGATATGGGCGACGCACTGCCAAACGGGAAAAGGAAGGGATTTTTTTTCTAATCAATTATTTAAAAAAAAATTAAATAAAAAAAAATATTTTTTTTTTATAAATTTATAAAAAATTATATCACGGCAACAGCAGTTATCAGTGTTCACGTCTGATCTGCCAGCCACTAAATGTCAAATCAGGCTAAAGTCGTGCTTCAAATGGCCCCCGCCCGTTTTTTGGGCGATTTCAGTCAGGTTGAAAATCGCCCAGAAGTCTGTCATAGACTCCCATGTAAAATCTAGTTTTGTCACATTTCAAAGCTTTCAATACATTCTCTATGGGTGTCTGTGGGCTTGCACTTACGCGCTTTCGTCATACATAACGTAACCACGAATGAACGTAACTAAGAAAAGACCAGGTAGCAGCCTCATTCAATTCACTACTACTATCAAAATGGCTAGGCTTCAGTCCAACTCGATTGTGTCTTTGAAAGAAGTTCCTTTTTGTCGGCGAACAAATGAAGATAAATTGGCAACGAAACAATTAGGACCCCCCAGACCAAATTTAATAATTCAACAGGTGTCTACTAAAGGGGGGAAGTCCTACACCCCGAGGATTTTCCAAAAATTGGTATGAACGGAAAACCTGGCTAGCAGGCTGCGATGTAGCTAATGCAGTTTTTTTGCTACCCCCTGCTTACTCTTCCACCCTGAAGGCGGCACAGCAGACAGCACCGCTTGGACAGCGACTGGTGTAACCGACATGCAACCATCTTTCAGAAAAGATTAAGAAAAATTAGCTGTCAAAGACCCACATATAGCTGTTTGAGATTGTCTGCTTTTGGGAGAGTGAATATTGCCACTCAACTGGATGAGGGATACAGGCTAGCTGTCCGCCGCCACAACGATGAGGTTAGCAACAGCAGAGTCGTGAACACTGTCTACGAGAATCGAGACGACCTCATATAATGTTTTGAAGCCATCCGGACGGGTTCATTGGGTTCATTTGACCAGCACAACCTTGAGAGAGGCAGCTGGCTACGTGAGGATACTACATGATGAAGATTTAATTTTTTTCCTGCGGCTTTTTCACAAAATCATGCCCCACGTCGACATTCTGTACCAGAAGCTACAGAAGAAGGACATCGATGCTGTCTCTATCAAACGTGCCCTCGACAGCTTCACAAGCAAGTGCAGGCCATAAGGTAAGATTAAACAGATATCAAAAAATGTGGTAAAAGCTCTTGTTGATCCTGCAATCTGAACAAATACCAAGATGCTGTATTTTCAGCTGATATTTCATTTGTTTATGGAAATGCATATTGTTTATGCAGTGTTGAGGAATGTGAAAGAACACCCTTGATTATTTTTACTGTGATAACTTATTTTGCTTTTGTAAGCCAACACTTTTGAGATCAGTCAATAAATGCTTCTGGTATTGACTTATATGCTGCCCCTGTCTTCATGTTGTTGCTGGACATATCTTTTTAAAAATGTGTGTAGGTCACCTAAATCATCAGAAAAATTGCCCTCCCTGAGAATTTGTTCAGGAGCCGCCACTGTCTATAACCATCAGGCGTTTGATGATAATAATGTGGTGCTGTTTAGTTCAGTGCTTCGGGACAAACAGAAACAGTCACCGACTTTGGATGTGTCCCAAAAGGCACCCACCCTATTTCCTACGTAGTTCACTACTTTTGACCAGGGCCCTATAGGTCAAAAGTAGTGCACTACATAGGGAATAGGGTGTTATCTGGGATGCAGATTGACTCTTTGAGTACCATCTAAACATCAAAGACCTATCTCTGTGGAGGGCTAAATAAACCAGCCTGAAATAGCATGGCCATCAAACCACTTCACCGTCATCTCTTAGTCAAACACAGTAAACATTTCCTTAAGCCGTGCTGCAGTGGGCTGCATTAGAATGAGGGAAAGAATTACAGGATACGTCCCCAATGGCACCCTATTCCCTTAGTGCACTACTATTGACCAGAGCCCTATGTGCCCTCCTCTCCCAGGGCCTTGGTAGTACGCTACAAAGGGAACAGCGTGCCATTTGGGACGCCCAAGAGACAAAACTCTTTAAACATGTTGAACTTCCTTTCAGAATTCAGATGTAACCTAGTCATGCTCAGCACAGAACACACACACACACACACCACTGCTCCATTGTCTCCCATTAAAAGAGGACATTGTGTAATGAATTTATACGAAGGTACGGCATCACTTTCCCTCATTCTGAAAATGTTCTCATGAAGCTGGAATTTATATAGCCAGGCTCCTCTGTGTATGTAGCCATCCTCTCTTTCTGTGTGGTGTGTGTGTGTGTTTGTGTGTGTGTGTGTGTGTGTTTGTGTGTGTGTTTGTGAGTGTGTCTGTCCCTCTCCACAGATGACACTGATGTGATGTGATATGATGTGATGTGATGTCAACAGCCTGAGACCGTCACGTCTGCCTGTCTTAACTGACTACACTATGTCAAACAACCATATCGAATCATTTAAAACGCTGTGCTGTGTTCCAAACTATCTGCACTATGACAAACAACCATATTAAATCATGAGTTAGTCAGACAGTCAGTGATTAAGAAGCCCCCTGCAAACATTTTCTGCTCGCTAACCAGAGGAATTCACGTTGGGTTTTCATCCGAAGTCGTTTCTCTTTTACCTGATAAGTATGTAATGATGAAGCAGTGATTCATGTCACACAGCCATTTGGTTTGGTTCGGTTGGCAGAGTTGGATACACACACACACACACACACACACACACACACACACACCACACAGGCAGGCACACACAGGCAGGCACACACAGGCAGGCACACATGTACGCACGAGACACACACACTGTGGAGAGGGACTGTCACTGCTCATCAGTGCAGAGGGGGTCTGAGAGCTGGGTCTGACGCAGATCCAACCGAATGTGTTCACACACAACACGAACACCTGCCTCTGTTCAGTGTAACCATGGTCAGTAGACAATAGAAGGCCAGTGTAACCATGGTCAGTAGACAATAGAAGGCCAGTGTAACCATGGTCAGTAGACAATAGAAGGCCAGTGTAACCATGGTCAGTAGACAATAGAAGGCCAGTGTAACCATGGTCAGTAGACAATAGAAGGCCAGTGTAACCATGGTCAGTAGACAATAGAAGGCCAGTGTAACCATGGTCAGTAGACAATAGAAGGCCAGTGTAACCATGGTCAGTAGACAATAGAAGGCCAGTGTAACCACAGTCAGTACCAAATAGAAGGCCAGTGTAACCATGGTCAGTAGACAATAGAAGGCCAGTGTAACCACAGTCAGTACCCAATAGAAGGCCAGTGTAACCACAGTCAGTACCCAATAGAAGGCCAGTGTAACCATGGTCAGTAGACAATAGAAGGCCAGTGTAACCACAGTCAGTAGACAATAGAAGGCCAGTGTAACCATGGTCAGTAGACAATAGAAGGCCAGTGTAACCATGGTCAGTAGACAATAGAAGGCCAGTGTAACCACAGTCAGTACCCAATAGAAGGACAGTGTAACCATGGTCAGTAGACAATAGAAGGCCAGTGTAACCACAGTCAGTACCCAATAGAAGACCCGTGTAACCATGGTCAGTAGACAATAGAAGGCCAGTGTAACCACAGTCAGTAGACAATAGAAGACCAGTGTAACCATGGTCAGTAGACAATAGAAGACCAGTGTAACCATGGTCAGTAGACAATAGAAGGCCAGTGTAACCATGGTCAGTAGACAATAGAAGGCCAGTGTAACCATGGTCAGTAGACAATAGAAGACCAGTGTAACCATGGTCAGTAGACAATAGAAGGCCAGTGTAACCACAGTCAGTACCCAATAGAAGGCCAGTGTAACCACAGTCAGTACCCAATAGAAGGCCAGTGTAACCATGGTCAGTAGACAATAGAAGGCCAGTGTAACCACAGTTAGTAGACAATAGAAGGCCAGTGTAACCATGGTCAGTAGACAATAGAAGGCCAGTGTAACCATGGTCAGTAGACAATAGAAGGCCAGTGTAACCACAGTCAGTACCCAATAGAAGGCCAGTGTAACCATGGTCAGTAGACAATAGAAGGCCAGTGTAACCACAGTCAGTACCCAATAGAAGACCAGTGTAACCATGGTCAGTAGACAATAGAAGGCCAGTGTAACCACAGTCAGTAGACAATAGAAGACCAGTGTAACCATGGTCAGTAGACAATAGAAGGCCAGTGTAACCATGGTCAGTAGACAATAGATACCAGTGTAACCATGGTCAGTAGACAATAGAAGGCCAGTGTAACCATGGTCAGTAGACAATAGAAGGCCAGTGTAACCATGGTCAGTAGACAATAGAAGGCCAGTGTAACCACAGTCAGTAGACAATAGAAGACCAGTGTAACCATGGTCAGTAGACAATAGAAGGCCAGTGTAACCATGGTCAGTAGACAATAGAAGACCAGTGTAACCATGGTCAGTAGACAATAGAAGGCCAGTGTAACCATGGTCAGTACCCAATAGAAGGCCAGTGTACCCATGGCCAGTAACCGTGATCAGTACCAGTGAGACCATAAA